TATATATATATATATATATATATACCATAATGCCTTTATTAACTCAGGTAAAATTATCAGTTCTTTATATATGTTTCAGTTCTTGGTACTTATGAACAAAATTTAGAACCAACTGTTGATTATTTCATTTATAATTTTGCGTTAATTCAGTAAACAAGTATCAAATATTAATCCAGGAAATATGAAAGTAATGTATGAAACAATATTAAAGTCGAAAATAAAGCATCATTGCAAATACCATGCGTAACAACGGACATACTGGAGAGCAGTCTGTGTTTCATCCCTCAGCCTCATCCCGTTATAGGTAGCAGCATTGGCCACATATGCATATTTCGGTTTTTGCCTCATCGGTCGGCAGTTCCTGGATCCGTCCAAGAAATATAAACGTTATGAAGTGGACTTTGTGGTACCATTGTTCACAATTGTCCAGTTTCTGTTCTTCGTTGGATGGTTCAAAGTAAGCCTCTTTTTACTTGCCCGTCTAGAAATACTCAATTCTGGTGCTGGGCTACGAAGTCATATTGACTGCTATCATTGATGTCCCGTCTTTTGGTAAATTAGGAATAAAATTTGCAAAATCTTACATTCTTCAACTAATAAATGGCATCAACAGAATAGCCCCTCCCCACTTCCTCCCTTTCCCCCTCCCCCCCCCGCCTCACGAAGAGATTTAAGACAGAGAAGAATGGAGAAATTGCCAGTTGCATCAATGACGGGAATGATCATAATAATGAAATAGCAGCTAATTACAGTACCAGAGCTACTGTCTTATTTTTGCCGCTTGTCAAGATATATGTTGTGTACTTCCTGGATCTGTTGGCTTTCGACACCAGCGTGAGGGACCTCTTTTTTTGGAAGGGAGCAATGGGAAAACGGGCGCCTTTCTGTCTGATAAACTGACTTGAGAAGTATGGAGGGACAAAAAAGTCGGAGCTTGGGGGTGGGTGAGAGGCCTTTCTTTTTATCTGATGAATTAAGCGACGACGGAGCGAAAGGCGAGACATATTGTTTTTTTATCAAATAAATTGCGGATCTGGTGAAATGGCAATGAAGCTGTGTGTGTTTCAGGTGGGTCAGGATCTGATGCGTCCGTTTGGCATGGACGATGACGATTTCGAGTTGGATTACATCTTCGAGCGCAACGTTGCCACATCTTTTGCGATCGTCGACCGGCTCCAGATGGCCGATTACAGTTCGTCCGCTTTTCGATTGAAGCTGCTCTGTTTTACTGTTCAAATCAAATAGTTGTAGTTGAATTTTACTACTTGAAGTTTCCGTCCTAGGACTCGGAACCTCTAAAGTTGGGTTGAAACTGAATTTTGTTGTGTCGCTACTTGAACTATCAGTTCTAACATTCGAAATCTCCGAGTTTGATGCTTAAATATGAGAGTAGCAGTAGTACTCCAACCAAAAGCACGCTGTTTATTTGCTTAGATGTTGGCTTAGGGGCTCTGAATCTCCAACAATGCAGCTGGCAGCCTCTCCACATTTCTTTTTATCAGATGGTCAGTCTGCTGGCAATCCTGACATTCATTTCGGTTCCTCCTGAACCACTCAAGAGCGTTTGGCAACGAGCCTGAAAATATGTTGCTGTAGAATGAACTGAAACAGTTGCAGTGCCACTGGAGGACGATCAATTCTGGAAACTGGACGGGCCAGGCCTAATAACAATGCCACGAACGGGCCTTTCCGGTCAGTGCAAGCAGCACAGGCCTATCCGGCACGTACCCTCATATAGGCCCAATGAACATCACGAACTTGAGGAAGGCCGAACACGATGCAATGCCTTGAAGAAACGCTGGCACGGATACGAGTAAGCTTTCCGCATACTTGCATTTAATACACATTGAAGCAGCGCCTGATTCACTGCTGATGTGTATTTATAGTCGCAAAGCTTTAGCCACTTAGAGATTCGACGGTGTGTGTGTGTGT